CATGCTTGCTGTTTACTTGTTTTGCGTGCTTTTGTAGGATGTCATTAAATAATTGATTATATAGTAATACAATTACTTGTAAACAGGAATATGTGACTAAAAGCTCTATTAAAGTACCACTAAGATGACTTTGTTATCTTTTTTCTTGCCTAGCTATTAGAACATGCATAATGTTATTCAACATGCATAATAAGCCACTAAAAGGCTTGATGTGGTAGAATATTACCTTATTATGCAAGTTTGAATGAGTTAGTTTAGCAAACAAACTAGAATTAATGGTAGAAAGTAACAGCATACTGGGGGATATTGAGAAGTTGATCTATATGTGAGTGTGCTATGACATGTCTTCTTTATTTCTCTTGATATAGTATTTTTTAAATTTAGTAGGATTATTATGAATTTTGATAGCAACAGAAATAGATGTAAGATATATACAATAGAAAAGTAAAGATTTAACAGGTAAAGTATAGTAAGCGTAAACTTCCCATAGTGTGGTTATGCCCAAACCAAATATAATGTGAAACAAAAAAAATGTTTTATGACTGAGCTAATTCATTTTCTCACAGTTTCCCCCAGAGTTTGTTATTTGGAAGGGTGGCACTGGAGAAAGGGTAAAAATATTTGTAACCTTTCCCTTGTGTTGTCAGCACATTCCTGTGAAGGAGTTTGTTTGCCCTATGAATTGTGATCTTATTTGCTTCCCTTTTTGATATAGCAAAAGTAAGGGTTAGGGTTCAAGCAAATATGGTGATAAGAAGAGGGCTCAAGACTTCGATAGATGCTCAGTGGCTGGACCTGAGATGAGTTTTCCTTTGATCCACATTAGACTATATGAATTGGTGAAACTCTTCTACACCAAAGGCTCATATGCTGTCTTCTTGCCAGTTGTAGCATGGGAGCAGAGGCAGTGTCCCAGTTCACAGATAAGTGGAAAGAGAGGTTTCAGATTCAAACTAGATGGAAGCTGGCAGGTGGTACCAATAGACATGTATACAAGACCATTGCCAGGGAAAGAATGGTGTTTCTTAATATATCCCAAAATGTTGTTGTGAATTCCATTGATTTAGTAGTCTATGATCTATTCAAGTATAACCGTCTGAAGTACTACCTCATGACAGATCACATGCCATTCCATTTAGAGTTGGCTTCTGCACCATTGTTATTTCCTGCCCACACATCCCCACCCCAATCAGTATAGTGAGAACCATTTATATGAACTTTGGTTCCAGCCAGAACAAAAATGGTACGAAATGTACTCTGGCGGTGCTCCAAGTGTGGGATTCCTGATTTTCTAAAAAGTCTTGTTTCTTCAGCCAGGCTCCTGGAATGTGGAACTATTTGTGATCAGTGAACATCTGAAACATGGTCTAATAGTAGTTTTTGGATTGAGAAAGACTAGTTTCTTAGCCAACTGGCAGAGAACAGTTTATCTCTTATCTCTGACTCATGAATGGATTTTACACACACACACACACACACACACACACACACACACACACGTCTTGATCTATGTATTTATGTAATTTTATGGCTCCATGGAGCCTTCATTTAAAAATGTTAGAATTCTTTTAGAATTAATTGAGTCATAACATAGTTGTAGCTATAATTCAGGACATGCAGAAACTCCAGATAGTTCTGTTTTTAAAAGTGACTTATTCTTTCTATGTTGCTGTCCAGTTTTGCCTTGCTTTGTCCTTTAACATCTGTTGGATAAGGCCATTTTAATAAAATGCTGGAGAATCTGGCAGGCTCACCCCTCAAAACATTATCTGCAAGCTCCTGTTTAATTCTGTGTTATAATTTTGCATGATCATTAAAAACAAATGGATAGATTTTGTTGGCCAGTTAACCAGGAGTACCCTCCAAAACTCAGGTTAGAACAGATCAGCTTTATCCAGGGTGATATTATCCCAGATGTCTTAAAACACCAGTCTTTCCTCATCTTTTGGAATTGGAAGATCCTTTAGATTTGCCCAGTTGCATTTCAGAGCTTAACTGAGAATCAGAGGCTGCAAGGCAGTTTGCTACTGTCCATTATTTTTATGCAGTTTTTTTTTTTTTGTAAATAGCTGTAATAGTTTGGGAATGATCTGTTAAAGATATAGGGATCTGTCATCCAGATTTTATGAGAGACAGTTACTGTTTGGAATGAATTGTAGCTCAGTGATGGTATAGTTCAGTAGCTTTAGTTGGGAACCATAGATGACAAGTAAAACAAATTAGGAATCTAAATCATAAATGTCTGAAAGGTGCCTTTTCAAAAGGCAACTGGACTTTATAGATATTTGGTATAAATATTCTGTTTTATGTTGATAGTTTGGAGATTATTCTTGGATACCAGTTTTGTTACTTGTTGGAAGTTACCCTCCTCTTCTAGGGAAACAGCCCCCACCCTTTATCAAGTAGGGCTATTAAAATAGCTGGAGCCAGCTTACTTTTCACAACAAAGGAAGGAGAAAATTACAGGCATGAGATACAGAGAAAAAAAAACCCTACAAACTAGCTAAGATCCTTTCCCATAGAAATCAAATAGATGGCAAGTTATAAAAACTTGTGAAAAGCAAACCAAAAGGCATGGCAGGAAGGAAACATGATAGCAAACAAGCAACTACAAAGGATCAGGACCATAAAACTAAGATCCCAGGAAGAGATCCCGAAGAGATAGGAATTCAACACACAAATCAAAGTCTTCAAAGATTCACACCTACAAATCAAAGAACCTGAAGTGTATAAAAGAGAGGTTTTTCTACTCATTTATTAGATTAATCCTAGGAACGCTGTGAGATTTCTTACCTGCCTTCCTATTAATAAACTGATTCTAACTTTCAACGCAGCTGACCAAATCATTGTGCATTTCTCCTAGCCTGGAAATTTGAATCCACAAAAGGAAATAACTTTGCCTATTCCTTAAAGGGCAAGGTTTCTTTTTTCCTTTCCTCAACTTTAATCAATTATTTGTTACCATCCTGTTCCTCCATCCTTCTCTCTTTGAACAAAAGCTTCCATTTCCATAAATTCTTGAAGGACTAGTTTAGGGTTCTTGCCTACAGGTAGTTTGTTTAATTTTAAAATTGCAGAAATTGCCCATATGTCTTCCTGTTTTTAGTTTTCTTTCTGTGAAATCATTTGTGGTGTTACAAATGCTAATGGATCTTTTAAAAAGACTATGCATCTCTCTTTTTTCATTAATGATAATGCAGGAAAAAAATTAAATGTTTAAGGGAAATTCTAAGATGGGTTAAAGTACTTCAGATGATGCAGAATATTACACCAGGAACAATATTAGAGATTTTATATATGGAAATACTGTCGTTTTCTGTTTATGTTACTCCCCTTGTCTTTTCCATAGTGTAATTTAAACTATCCATCAGAGTTTCCACAATCAGGGTGCCTATAGAAATTTCTTACGCTTCTCAGCAATCAGTATGGTGGCTAGCAATTCTGACCTTTGAAGTCCATTCTTTCTGGTTTGGGGGAAAGCTTGTGTGGGTATTGACCTTTAGACCCTGAATGTTTTGAGACTAGTTTATCGGAAGGATTGCCTGCATCCATTAGAGTCAGCCTTGGCTTTATAATTAATACATGAAGTCCTGCCCTTTGACCCATTGATAAAGAGAGATTTGCAAGGCTGTTTTATAGTCATAGACTGCCTTCTCCACTCAAAATTAAAGAGCTGTTGCTTTGAAAATTTCAGATATACATTTACCTATTTATTTCACAGTACTTCTTACTAATTGCTCTGATCATTTTTACTGTTATCTTTTTAAGGTATGCATAATATGACATAAATTGACGGTGTCTATTATGTTTTATGATTAATTGAAATACTGTGCATTTTCTTGAGAAGGAAGCATAATCGTTCCTTGAAATATTGTTTATGCATTCATTAGGCAGCAGCATTATAAACTATTTGTCTGGGAATAGGTTCCTTTAAATTCAGTAGAATGTACTCCTGAGTAGACATCAATCATATTAGGTAAATTGTAAATTGCTCCAGTGGCAGATCCAGTAGCAATAAATCAGAGGTCATGGTTTAGAGATTTGTTTTCAATTACAAGAGAGGAAAATTTGTATCTTGCTAGTTAAGGTGTCCTAGTTAAATATTAAATAGTATAGTATCCATTTTATCAAAATGTCTAAGGCATTTCAATATATATCAAGTTTGTTTTTCTTCTGTGAATACATTTTACACCTCTATCACAAAAATGATATAAACTTAGCTTGACCACATCTTGTTTCCTGCTGTATGAGATCTTTGCAATAACTTGAACAGATTTGTGTATTTTTTTTAATTTTCCTCAAAAAATAAATTGTAAAAACACATCCTAAATAGTTTAACATAGCCTTGAAATCTCTCTCTGTGTGTGTATACACACACACACACACACACACATACATACATACATACATACATACATGTGAGTGTGTTATATTATGCATTGATATAATAATAGAAATGGAAATAACCCTGTAAAAATGTTTAAACGATGAAGGCTTTGTAAGTTTAAACAACAAGATATGCTTATTGAGTCTGCCATAGTTTGCAATTGTATAGTTATGATAATAGAAAAACCCTTGAATAATTTGCAGGATAAAAAGAAAAGGAATACAGTGTTCATCCATTAGTGTGGTTATCTCAGTTATAAATTGTACTTTGTTTCTCTATTGACAGATATTCTGGTCTTTATTATTAAAACAAATAAAGGAGAAAATTCTCCTTCAATAATTTATTGCCAGGTCCTTGATTTATAATGGATACTGTTAAATGATTGTAATTTAAAAAAACTAAAAGAAATACCCATTAAAATTTCAAGGGATTTTCTTCTTCTTCAAGGAGTCTAATTATTTTATTTTCTTGACGATGTTGCTGACTCCAAGAAATGGCTTGCCTCCAGATAAAAGATTATATATGTATATTAATTGAGAAAACTAAGATTAATATCAGAATGGATTTAAAGAATCTTTTTACAAATTTTGTTATTTTATTTTTATTTCCTCAGTCACAGATGAAGATACTGTAAAGAGATATTTTGCCAAGTTTGAAGAAAAGTTTTTCCAAACTTGTGAGAAAGAGCTTGCCAAAATCAACACATTTTATTCAGGTAAGACATCTTTTGTTCCATCAGATTCCTAAGGGGCAATTGCCATATCAAGGCTACACCATGTTCTTCAGTAGTTCTTATTTAGAAAGCTCCTTTTACTCTGCCAGGAATAAGACAAGAATATATAGCTTTGGTCAGTAGAAGAAACTAAGCTCCTAATCCTAACTTACTTAACCAAAGCAGATTTTAAATTAGCCAGAATTTTCCTAAAGTGGAATATTATAATGTTTTTAGTATAAAACTGAATTTCTGATTAGCTGTCAGCACCCTAAAAAGAGGATGAGGAATGGATGTGAACCTCAAGGATTATGTTTCTTATCCTAAATTGTTTTTGTTATATCTTAAAAGATGCTATACTGAGTACTACTGGAAATTTTTTAAGGATGCCCATTATGTGAAATAATAATTATAATGTGCCTAAAGTTATTTTTATGGCAAACACAATGTTGAATTACAATCCTTTTTATCAGTTCTGTCTGTCAGAATGATCTGTCTGTTTATCTATCTATCTATCTATCTATCTATCTATCTATCTATCTATCTATCTATCTATCTCTATCCTGCTTTTATTATTTTTATAAATTATTCAAGGTGGAGAGCATATCTTCTTCCTCCTCCTATTTTCCTCACAGCAACAATCCTGTGAGTTGGGCTGAGAGACAGTGACTGACTCAAAGTCATAAAGTTTCCCTTAAGTTACAGTCATTCAGGATGATAAGGAGATGATGTAAATATAAACAATGAAATCAAAGGAAATGGAAAAATATAGTGATATTATTCTTACATATAATAAATAATATATTCTTACATATAATAAACCTTGTTTAATCCAACAGTCAAAAGACAGCATTGAAACTCTAAATAAACTATAGCTCTGAGGCCTCAGATATTAGCACTTTTGACTAAATGGGGAAATAATTTTTCAGCAGTGCTGTTTCTGATGTTTTTTATGGTCTGTTTGTTAATGAAGAAGTGCAGTAGACCATTGTTGGTGCATTAATAAACAATGGCATATAACCAGAGGTGGTATTCAGCAGGTTCTGACCAGTTCTGGAGAACCGGTAGCAGAAAAATTGAATAGTTAGGAAAACTGGCAAATACCACTTCTGACAGGAAATTTTACAGTATCCTTCCCTTGCCACACCCACCAAGCCACGCCCACAGAACCAGTAGTAAAAAAATTTGAATCCCTCCACTGCATATAACAGCTTAAAAAGTGTATGCATTCCTGAGATTGCACATAACGTTATTAAGTCTTATTTTTATTTACAGTTTTATTAAAGAAGAAATATAGACCAAAAGTTAGTATCTTGTAACTACAGTATATCAGATGCTAGATCTGGTATGTGTACCTATGGGTTTTCTCTTTGCAAATAGCTGTAATAGTTTGGGAATTATCTGTTAAGGACATAGGAATCTATCATCCAGATTTTATAAAAAACAATTTTCATTGGAATGAATTGTAGGTCAGATTTATTTGTAGTCTACTGAGACTCTGGAAGCGCAGAAAAGAGCAACAAAGATGATTGGGGGCTGGAGCCTAAAACATATGAAGAATGCTTCCAGGAACTGGGTATGTTTAGTCTAGTGAAAAGAAGAACTAGGGGTGACATGATAGCAGTATTCCAATATTTGTGGGGCTGCCACAAAGAAGAGGGAGCCAAACTATTCCCCAAAGCAAGAGAAGGCAAAACAAGAAACAATGGATGGAAACCAATCGAGAAGAGAAGAAACCTAGAACTGAAGAGAAATTTCCTAACAGTGAGAACAATTAACCAATGGAATGGCTTGCCTTCAGAAGTTGGGGTGCTCTTGTCACAGGAGTCTTTTAAGAAGAGACTGGACAGCCACTTGTCTGCAATGGTATAGGATGTTCTGCTTAAGCAGGCCGTTGGACTAGAAGTCTCTCCCAGTTCTGTTATCCTGTTAATTTTGTTAATTTATTTCATAGGGCTTAGTTGTAGATCATAAAAAGTTAAATTTTATTGATGGGGGAAAAAAATCTTAAGTGCACGTAGCAGTCAGTTGGTAGGGTTTTGATATAAAGAAATGCTTATATATATGGATTGCAGTGTTACATTTCACTATCAGGAAAATAAATTTCTTCTGTGAACTAGGCTTTGGATGATAAGGGGTGAAAGTGATTTTTTATTTTCTCAACCCTTTTCAAAGAGAAACGTCAAATAATCAGGAGTTATTGAAGTATCAGACAGACACATTTCAATTATATCATCATTTAAAGTTGTATGTTTACAAAAATTTTAACTGGACACACTTGCATTATTCATTATGCATTAATTATCCCCATCCCCATTGTAGTCAGATGAACTACACTGCCCCCCCCCCCCCAACATCCTCTTGTAGGGAAAAAAACACCCATCAAATGACAACTGGATTTTCTTTATTTCAGCATCCATCTGTGCTATAAAATAAAATACTATCTGTTGACTTGCTCCTTTGGGGGAAGAGCAACATGATCTGTGTTATTTATGTTGAACTTACTTAATATAATATATAAACATATTCTGTATTTTCATTCCATAGAAAAACTGGCAGAAGCGCAGCGCAGATTTGCTACACTACAGAATGAATTGCAATCAACTTTGGATGCACAAAAGGAAACCAGTGGTCTTACTACCGTGCGGCAACGTAAAAAGCCAGTCTTCCATCTGTCTCATGAGGAACGTGTTCATCATAGGAACATCAAAGACCTGAAACTGGCCTTCAGTGAGTTCTACCTCAGCCTCATCTTACTGCAGAATTATCAGGTATTGATCATATCATTAAAGGATGTTTCCGGTGATTCAGATGGGATTAATCTTGATTAAAGTGAGGCTTGCTGGAATTTTTGCAACCAGATTGCCTTTTATCCGGTTCATCGTACAGCTATTGATTAAGATTCAATTAGTGTAGATACTTATATGACTTGTATGGTAATGAATGAGATACAGTTTTATATGAAGTGCTTGGGTCCACAATTAATCTCCAAGATACCATTTCACCCTTTATATCAGTTCAGAAACGTTTTCACTTTTCTGTTTAAATTTACCTATGATGAGCAAAATCTTTTTGCTTCCCACAAACATTTGAAAATGTTCGTGGGAAGGTATTAGGCTAAATTTGCAGTTGATATCTGGAGTAATATGAAACTTGTTAAGAGTAGATGCATCTTATTGGCCACAGGTTGCCACATTCTGGTGTAGATACAGAAACATCTGCATTGACACAAAAATATTGAGCTGGGTTATAATGCGTGTGAAAATCATCATCTTGCAGATAATGGAATACCTCTATGGTACATATGGTCCCTAGTGCATTTCTTTGAACTAAAAAGATTGGCTTGCTCTCGATAGATCATCATTTATATAATTTGTCCTTTATTCTCTAGCACTAAAGATAGTCCTTGACTTACAACAGTTCATTCAGTGACCATTTGAAGTTACAATGGCACTGAAAAAAGTGGCTTATGACCATTTTTCACACTTATGACCATTGCAGCATCCCTTGATCATATGATCAAAATTCAGACGCTTGACAACTGGTTCATATTTATGATATTTTCAGTGTCCCACACTGTCCTGGGGTCATGTGATCACCTTTTATGACCTTCTGACAAGGAAAGTCAATGGGGAAGCCAGATTCACTTAACAACCATACTACTAATTTAACAACTGCAGTGATTCACTTAACAACTGTGTCAAGATAGGTTATAAAATGAGGCAAAATTCACTTAACAAATGTTTCATTTAGCAACAGAAATTTGGGGCTCAGTTGTGGTCGTAAATTGAGGACTGCCTATAGTTAGTTGCCACATCTTTATTTGACAAAAGGGTTGGGGGGAAATCATCAGTGTCCAAATAAATATTCTGGGGAGACAGAGGGTTGAGGAGCTCTGTGATCTTTTATTTCTGGTAATATTCCATACCACATGGATTGTTTGGGAAGCAGTTGCCTTTTTCATTTCACTTCTCACTGACTTCCTATAGTTTAATATCCTTTATTATTAACTCTTTATTGCTCAAAATATGCAGCTGGAATAGAAAGATTCTGGCAAGAATTTAACAGTGTGATGTGGTATTAGAGTTGTCAAACACTTCGTGTCGCTGAGATTTGTCAGAAGTTGTAATTATTCCCAGAGCAATCAAAGTTATTCAACCCAGAAATAAGAACCTAAGCCTGAAATTGTGACTTCATTTTTTTTTTCATTTAGCTTGTGAACAAGGTATAGCTCTCAAGGGAGATTGCTGGGTTTCTTCAAGAGAAAATAATTAAAATTTCTTATTAAAGATAATATATATCATTAATATATTAGTTTCCTCTTCCCATCTTCAGATTGTTTCCTTGCTTTTCTATCCTACTGAGCTCCATTATGAAATCACTCTAGGCATGATTTAATTGAAAATAATTTCAGTAGAGCTGCTGTAACTCTTCCCATAGGCACTATATTTCGGTTCTGTTCTTTGTTTTGTTTCAGATTTGAAAATGAAACCTAGCCTAAATGAGATCATTTTCCAAATAATATTATCTTTTGGATGTTTAGTTTATAAGGAAATTTTTCCCTCTTATTTTATATGATTTCCCCCTTTTTCTTTTTTAAAAGAACTAGGTTGATTTTGAATATATATTTTACTTTACTATGTAATTTTGTTTCTATAACAGGTTAGGTTTCTTTTTTAACTTATACATTAGCCTATAATAATGATATAGTGATATAGTTTTACTGTTATTATATATAATGCCTCAAACTATTGAGTTTTTCTTAAATTCAATTGCACTGTTTTTTAAAATTCAATAAATATCAATACACATACATATACTCGGTGTTATCTTTAAAATAAGTTACACCTTTAAAATAAATCACACTTTTTTATGTACCTCATTATTAAATGTAATATAATGTGCCATAGGCTTAAAATAGCAAGTGCTTTACTTAAGTCCCATGTATTACAATGTGTTAAAAACAAGTGAAGATTTCCATATCCTTAATTTTTAATTCTTTATTTGCTTTTTTTGATAACCCAACAACTTTCTTCTTTAAATATTCTATTATTTCTAGTAAACAGCAGTTTATATACTAGGTGTTCAAAAATGTGTTCAGCAGTCAGTGAATTGGGAATGTTGACTTGTTTCTAATCCTCCATTTTTGTCTGTATGAAGTATGGAGTTGCTATTAGTGATTACAATCAATTTTATGCATTATTATGTATAAAACTAAAGGACAACAGTGTGGATTACAATCAGACTTCAGCTCTGGCATTTTAATTTAAACATGCAATTTACAAAAGGTTACTCCTGTAGCAGCAATATTTTATGAGGGAATATATGATTTTTCAAAGCTGGCTTTGTTAATTCTTTTGTTAATTTTAAAGAAAAAAAAGATTAGCTTTATTTATGGATAGAAAAATGTAAAATATGTTTCTTTTAAAGACAGAAAAGATTTTATAGTTTCTTCCTTCAAGTGGTTTATTTCCCTTCCCAATTCCCTGATATCAAATGAAAGGGTAATATGTGCAGAAACTAAGCAAATAACATGGTTGTGTTTTATCTTTATCTTTAGAATCTAAATTTCACAGGGTTCCGTAAGATTTTGAAGAAACATGATAAGATCCTGGAGACACCACGAGGTGCTGATTGGAGAGTGGCTCATGTTGAAGTGGCTCCTTTCTATACTTGCAAGAAAATCAACCAGCTCATCTCTGAAACAGAGGTATAGTTACTATTTAAGGCAGGGATGTCAAATTCAAGGCCCATGGGCCAGATCCAGCCTGGGGGGTTGCTTAGATTTGGTCCACGGGGCCTGCCTGGAAATATCAAAGGACCAGCCCACGGAGCCTCTGCTGGCCAAAATGGGCCACAGGGGGGCTGCAGGCAGCTCCCCAGCCCATTTTTGGCCTCCATGGCCTCTCCCAGCTGAAAATGGGTCACGCGGAGCATCTGCGTGGCCCCAGTGTGGCTTGTTTTTGGCCTCCATGGCCAAAAGATAAGCTAGGGCATTGGAGCGCAGGGTAATGGGGGAGGTTGTCAGTTACTGAGACTGGGCTAGGATGGCTGCAACTTCCCTGGGACAAGAGACCCTTTGTGCTATGCTGGTGGAACTGGGCTTTGTGCTTCTTGCAGCCCCAGAGTCGGAGGACCTCACAAAGCCCTTTTGCATGATTGGACTGAAGCTGGGTTTCATGCTGCACTGTGGCCTGGCCTTCTTCCAACCCCAGAGCTGCAGAACAGTAAGAAACCCATTTGAACCACACTGTTGGACTGGGCTGTAGCTGGGCTTCTTGCAAGCCCAGAGCTGTGGTGCATGCGAAAAAGCATCTGAGCTCCAGTATATTCTTACGCCAGCATTCCTACATATGCATGCATGTAATCTGTACCGTCTATCCCTGGCCTCCTGAGCTTGCAACACACTGCAGAAATCACTCTCCAACATGTGTGTGGCCTATGCCAGACCTTTTAATGTCTCCCCTACCCTCGTGGCAACCCCCATACTCTTTATTCGGGAACACTGCTTCCTGCCCTGTGTATGTGGAGTTAGGCAGCCCATGTCATGTGACATTGCACTTTACCTTAGGGAAGGAAATTCCAATCCCAACTATGATTGTATGTCAAAGACTGCCTGTATATTTTTAAACAAGCAGTTGAACTTTTAGTATCTATTTCATGTTTTTTTTAAAAAAAAACTTATTAGTTATAACTTTTTATCTATTTTTTTTTTTAGACAGTGGTAACCAATGAATTGGAAGATGGAGACCGACAGAAAGCCATGAAACGATTACGTGTCCCACCACTAGGAGCAGCACAGGTGATGGAAATCTAAGAACTTCATTATATTTCCTTGGATAAATGGACATCATTTAAGAGTTGGCATCACGTTCACATCTTGAGTTATCTTTTGCTTTTTTCTTTGGGATTTTCACTTCAAAATTCTTGGAAGTAGACAGTGCATTAATATGTAATGGCAGAATAGAAAGGATGCTAGAATAAAAAAGTTTGTGTGTACTTCCAATTAATTATTTTGTTAATTTCCTCTGCTGTTTATTCCTATGAAAAGTCATAGGCAAAGAGCTCTGTAAAACAGCAACAGTAAGAGAAAGACAGAAGGTTTGATGTAGCTGTCATTCTTAGAGATTTTAGTCATTCATTTGAAGCAAAATATTCTTTTAGTCCAGGGATCTTTTTTTTTTTTTTTGGACTGCTGAGGCCAATTGAGCGTTGTTCCCTTTCCAACACTGCTTCCTTTTTCCAGTCAGCATTGTCTTAATCACCTAACTGCTGCTTTGATTTTGATTAGACCCTGGCCCTAGCAGCTTTACAGCTGCAAGACAGCTTCTCCATTCCAGAAAGCCTTTTCAGTAGTAGCATTGACACAATCATGTCATGAGAGCTAAATAGTTTCTTGACATTATATCATTGTCATACTTTATCATCACCAATACTTGGCATCAAATGCTGTGTACAGCAGTGTCTGAACTAAAATAATAATAATAATACCTGCCTCAAGCCAATCAGAACTGAGCAATTACTTAATGCTTATTCCATTCAACACAGATTCGGTGGATAAGCCTGCCACAGAAGAAATGACTGTTGATTACAGTTACCCCACTTGGTCTTGTGCACATGTGTCAAACTCGAGGCATCACATTACCATCATGTGATGTAGTGCAACATTTTCCCCCTTCGCGAAGCTGGGGTGAGTGTGGCCTGCGCGTGGCGCATCTGGTCCACGGGCCGCCAGTTTGACACCCCTGGTCTAGTGGATTAAGGAACCAGGCTAAAAACCTGGAGGCTGTGAGTTCTAGTCCCATCTTAGAAATGAAACCTGACTGGGTGACCTTGGGCCTGTCACTCTTTCTCAGCCCAAGTCACTTCATAGTGTTATTGTACCCTAAAGTAGGAGGTGGATGGAGTATTAGATATGTTTGCCACCATAAGTTATTTATTTAAAAAGGTAAAGGCAGGGTATAAATAACTAGGAATGAGAAGTAATTATATTCTTATTATTAGTAAAAATGGGATGTAACTAATACTGTGCTAAGGCCCACATAACCTGGCAATGTCTTGAACTATTTAATTCCCTCCTTGGTGTTTTAAAAAAAACCTTTTGACCACTTTTAATGTATTGTTGCTTATGTCCATGTATAATAGTTGTGCACTATTTTACAATTTATAATAGTTGTGCAGTAAAAGTAAAATTACAACTCAATCTTCTCAAAATTTATTTGTAATTCTAGAGCAAGTAAACAGTTTGCTCTAAAAGTATAAAAAGGTAAAAAGTATAAAAGTATTTGTAAGGCTTCAGTACGTCTCCATAAATTGGACTTATTTTCATCCATAAAAATGTTGCCATTTGTTCCGATAAATGCATTTTTTTCTCACTGGGACAAGCATCAGCTCAGATACAAACCTTAGAGAAAATTACAGTGGAAGGAAAGCATTAACCTCTTACATCTTATTCCTCCATATTGCTTTGCCAGCAGGATAGTCATCCTTTTGAGTAAAAGTAAGATTCAGGAGATTTAGTCACATGTCTTCACCATATGTAATTTAGGTCTAATATTAACTTTCATTAATAAGCACAGCAGGTATATAAATGAATTCAGTTGGCAGAAAGGAATCATTGGTTTGCCTGCAAACTGATATATCAGTAAGTTTGATAATATCAGCACAATCTTTTAAGATCTTAGACAGATATTTAAAATAAAAACTGTTCTGTTCTCTCTACAGCCTGCACCAGCATGGACTACTTTCAGGGTCGGGTTGTTCTGTGGAATATTTATTGTGCTGAATATCACCCTCATACTTTCAGGTTAGTTTTTAATAAGTAAACTTTACTTGGTTTCAGGATTTTGTGTGTGTGTGTGTGTGTGTGCGCATGTATAGTTTTAACTGTACCATAGGATAAGTTTTAAGTCACTTCAAATAAAATCTAAATAAAGGTATTAAACTCACAATGATATTTTGAATTACCTTTTTTTCAGTCAGAATTATTGATCCTGTAGAAACAATGAAACTGAGTCCTATCATAACATTCAGCAGCTTTTAAAACCTCAAATGTAAACTAGTCTTAAGCCAGGGAATCTCAAAACTTGCAATATTGTAACTTTTTACAATGAATGTCACAACCCTCCATGACTAAAGTAAATGCTACCATTGGGATTAGGGTTGCATTTAGAAAATAAATATAGAATGTAGTTGTAACAATTAATAATTAAATAATATGTCAATTTAAACCACCTTATAAATTTATAAATGTATAACAACTTTAAAATCATAGTTTTTCATATGTATTTATTTTTGCAGAATTCCTGAAATATCTATTTATTTTATTTTGAAGATAGCTGTTCTTATTTACTAGACTTGATGGGGGGCGGGATTTATCCTTGCCTTAAAATCAGTTTTTCTTCAATGTTCTTAAATGCTACAGCAAACAGCATGCAAAACACTGCAGACTGAAAGTTGCTTTTGGTGCTGTTTCTCCTATGGCAGCCACAATAAAATAAATCAGCACTCATTCTCCCTTCCCATTACCTCTCTTCATCATGTCAGATGGTTAGAGCTTTGCATAGAAGTCTAGCACCCTCCAGGCATGATTACTTCTCCTTTGAAAAGAAAACATTAATGTGCTTTTAAAAATGCCCTCTGGAAGTGTCATTATTTTTACATTAAACTGGCAAGCCTCCTAAGAAAGCAGTCACAGAGGTAAAGAAGGCAGAAACAAACAGAGGAAGAGATAGGATATAGGCAGGGCCACTCCAAGCAGGTGTGTAACTTGTGCATTGCCAAAGACGTGACAGGTGGGTGACAGACGGATGTTGTAGAAGTTATATTAATGAAAAGAGGAGGGGGGAAGCAGATTAATTCAACTTGTACTTCCTGAGTAGAAATAGGCTGGAAACCACAACTTTGCGGCGGTGGGAGGGAAGAGATGACAAAAGAGTAACCCATGATCCTCTGCCCCTTCCTCGGTTTTCCACATGCTTTGCAATACCTTCTTTGACATCATTAAGAGGCAGCAAAAAAGATGGAATGGTGGATAGGGCCTCCTGCACAGGCTATATAGCCCAGGCAATAGAGGAGACAGGGCTGCTGAGAGGTGGCAGAACACTTTTTGCACAGGTTAGCAGCAGTCCTGAGTAAAGGATGCAGATAAAGGAATCAATACAGAAATCGTGTATTTCTCTGCCCTAAGGAGAGAAGAAGGAACAGGCAAGGAAAAAGGAAAAAAGAAAGAGTATATGAGTATTTTTTTTTCCTGTAGGGTAAGAAATTCCTGCCACTATCAATCACTTATGCAAAGTATTAAATTGAATTGCATAAAAAAAGAATTTTTTTCTCTCAAAAATACGAGGGGTAAAGTTTTTGGATGCCATTGAATTGTGGAATAGTTTTTAATGCAGTATATAAAATTTTTAGCACTATAGAATAATTAAAAAACGAATATTCAAAAAGGTAAAGGAATTGGATGTTCAGTATAGTTTTCCTAAAGTAATAATTCAGTTTTTCGAATACCAGATCTTCAATTTCTTCTGTGCAAATGGGCTTTTAAAATGTTTTTTAATTTATCTTTTCAAACTTGCATCGTTTGCTTATTTCAATTCTGGATGTCATTAGAACCATCTGTGTGTTTGTATTCAATTGCTAATTTGAAAGTGGAAAAACACAAGTCTTTTGATGGCTGAAAGCATATTGTAGTGTAAATGAGGGTTCTCATTCGTAAACAGCTTTGTAAAATTTGGTTGTAAATAGTGCATTGGGAGTGGGCTTTGGGTCAATCCAGTGTAATGGTACAGTAATCTCTCAATTCAATGGAATAAAGGTGGAGAGTAATATTGATTAGGATCAAATAATGTTAAAATATGATTGATATTTTGGCCATATATAAAATGCATGTAAAATATGTTATATATAGACAATATGTGTAAAGTTAGTGAACACAGATTTGCCAAACAATAAGCTAAAGCTGGGGGTAAAGTCTGTTGCCAAATTTTGTTTGTTCTATTTAAAATCTATAGGGCACAAAATCAAGGCTACAGTCATAGACCTATTATAAAAACAACACAAAACAAAATAACTAGTATTGAAATAAATGGACATAATTTATATGAGATTCCACAATTATCCGTTTTTCATATGTCTCCAAATCCAGGAGACATCTATATATAATTTTTTACAAAACTTAGTTATGAAGCAATGGAATTAAATGTTCCTTCAGTAATGTGAATCAGATCTTCAGCAATATCTTAGAAGCTAACATTGTTAACCTAAAGAGAATATTTGCATTCAGATGTTTGAATTCATACTGTGAAAGCATTTACTTTAGTAACTTTGCAAATCAAAGTAGATAACAGGACAGCCTACAGTTCTTAAGATATTTCTCTGTTATTTTATTGTTTTGATGTTCTATATAAAATTTCACAGATGGAAATAGTAGCATTTCTGTGGACAAACTAGTATTTTCAAAAAAAGTGCCTAGCAATAACAGAGGGTGATAGAAAGCAGTGAGAAGGGAAGCACTTAGACCAGTCTGACTGGGCTCACTTCTAAATAGTTCATCCCAATAATGAAAAGAATTTGTAAGGATCCATTGAAGAAGTGTAAGCTAAGTTGAGTTGCCTTTAACAGAGTTTCAATGAAAAGTGAGCAAACTCATCTCTAACAGAGAACAAAAATAGGCAGGCAAAGGAAAAATGTAAATGTTTCTCTGAATTGAGAGGAGGGGAAGATTGTCCTGTCTTTCTTCAGCAGACTGAATTTGGCAAACAGCCAGGAATCTTATCATCTAATTGGAAACTGTTGCTAGGACTTATTTGTAAGACTTCCTGGAATATAAACCTTAGTAACAAACTAATAGGAGACGGAAGGTAGTTAGAAATGGAAAAGACTTTCCGTCCTAAAATACTATTGATTTTACCCTGCTTATAAAATTATAAAGTAATGAATTCATCAGAAAAGACTCCAGTCCTTGAGATTTTTCACCTAAAAGATACCCCATAATAAATCTATTTATATGACACTTTCTGACATACTGTAGGTAGCTTATAAAAAAACAATAAAAACTTAAAACAAAGCTTAAAACAATATATTAAAATTTAATATCCACATATAGCATTAGGAAAGTATAAAATCATCACTCGTTCATGAACTGTGTTAAAACTGGACCAGCATGTCCCAACCTTTCCGGGCTGGCAGGGCATGGGCAAGAGGGAGGAAGAGAAGATGGTTTTGTGTGAGGGGAAGGAACGAGTGTGCACACAGCTTTATTTGTGTGAGTGATGAATGCATGTGCCCACCCCTCGCACAAATATGGCTGCGCATGCACTTGCGTGGGTGCCAGCCTACTGCTCACACATCCTGGTTGCGAATAGACCACCACCTGGTACTTGTCCTTGTCCTAGACAACTACTCCCAATTATAGGGCACCCAATTATAGGGCACCCACTTCTCTACAAACGACCATCTTTCTTGATGCTAACCAGGTGGGAACTCTCCTGTTCTTGGGAGCTGACAATACTTGCCTCTACACCCCTTAATTTCTCATGGAAGGATTCGTAACATGCTTTCCTTGATCAACCTACAGTATATTGAATAGGCAGATTTGGCTTTAAACAGATGGTCCCAGAAGTAGCAAGGGCCAACCAATAAAGGTTATTATAGGTAATAACCAGATCTTGAATTGAACTTGAAGACCAATGGAGATATCCCTCAATGTACTATATGTGTTATCCAACTATAACTGATCTTGTCGATTAGCAAGTGATCAATTGCATTTTTCAGCAAATACTTTTTTAGGGCAGTCCCATTAGTTTGAAACTACCCAAAAGATAGAAAAGAGTATATATAAGTCAATTTCATAATCCAGAACAGGGCAAAGCTATTGTATCAGCCAATGCTTAGCAAAGGCTGTTCTGGTTATGGTTTCTGCCTCCTGATTTTTATCTACAAATTGCCTATAAATCCAGAATGGGCTGGATGATTTAAAATCATTAATGTTTACTATGACCCAAATACTGTATGTTTTAAGTACTGTTTTGGTATCTGGGGCATAGAGGGGCCAAGGCAATGATAAAAGAGAAGTGGCTAGATCTGTTGGGTGGGTGGGAGGAGTTATTATAGGTTATTTGTTCTGGTTTAAAATCTGCTGACCCCATCTGAAACATGTTCTCTACAATAGATTTTCATTCTTTAACTTGCCAAAGTAGTTGCTAGTGTCCTGCATCTGATATTTAGCGAAAACTTTTCAAGGGTTATGCATGCCTTGAAAATGTTTCTGGAGAAGTATTTCGAATCATTGGTAAACCCATGACATCTCTGTTATTCAGGGTTTGACAAGATTTGACAAACAAGATTTTATTTAAGGGATCTACTCATTAAAATTAATATAACTCTTAAAAAATTCACAACTTTTTTCCCAAGCTAATGCATAAACCTGGAAATGGGATGTTTTAATGAATAGTAGACTGCCTAAGATCTTGAAGCATTTCTTCTGAATCATTTTTGAAACATGCATATTTTTTTCCTTTATTCACGTCTTGTTTTGTTATTGACTGGATAATACATTCCACTTCTCTCTCTTCATTTTAGAAAGATGTCATTTTACAAAACAATACTTCTGGGTCTTTATAGCTTTTTTGGTTCTGCTTATTAAGTATGCTGGCTCCTCTGGGACTGATTCCCCACCCCCACCCACCCACCCCATTACAGTGGTGCACATTCTAACAGTTTCAAATGAATATAAATCATTTGGCTTTATTTGACTGCCTCATTATTAATCTCATAGGAATTTTGTTCCCATTTTGAAATCAAATGTGACTATGTTATGTATCTTTGGAAATTTCCCCTTTGTTTCCCATTTCTTTTGTGTGTGGTCATTGTTTCCATTCATTTTAAGAATATTTGTACTTGGCATTAGATTTTGATGTCACCATGTAGGATTTGGGACAGAATTGCTTTCCTTTTGATTTTTGATCATCTGTTCTAAATCATAATCACATAAGATATATAAGAATTTTGTCTGTGCCACAACTTGGCACTCATATTTAAAAATATTTGAAATTATCTATTTTATACTTTGCCTTTTTTAGCCTCTTGATTTATTTTTCTATCATAAGATTACCTTCCATATTTTGGTAGAATTGAAAGAAGATAGTGTATTTCTACTGCCAAATTCTACTTATATCTGCCACTGTATTTGAAAAGCTGGAAGAGAGTCATTAGAAGAGAATTTGAAGTGTTCTCAGCTCTTTTGTTTTTTCTAATTTATAATCATCACCATGCGTTCAATGCCCTTGCTGCATATTCTAAATATTCCTTACCTTTCCAAGGCTGGAATTATGTTTATTTACCTTTCATGGAGTCTTAATTTAGTTGGCAATGTAGATCTAAAAATATATAGAAGATCAAATATTTTTTACTACTGTTTAAAATTTTCTGACTGAAGTACCAGTAGTAATAAATGGTTCAAGGGATAGCTTATGCCAGTCACGAGATATCTACAATGCCATTAATTAATTCAGCTGTTTAGCAATCTTCTCACTTATACCTGTTTTTTTAAAAACTGAGAAGCGTATAAAGACTGTTTTTCAGGGGCTCGTAGAGAAATAAAAGCTTATAAAGAGAAATAACAGAAGACTTTCTTCTACTTCCTCTTGGAAACCAAATAAGGAAAGACGGGAAGTTGTCTTGCATGATTTAGTTCTGAACAAAATCTCTGTGGTTCTTACTATTTAGATAGCAATGATGTGAGTGCTTGTTTAGAAGTAAATTTTGGATAAGCTCTATTACAAAGACGAGATAGAAAAAGGAAAATAAAATAGTTTAAATGGATCTAGAACGGGGTGTCAAACTTGCAGCATCACATTGTCACATGACGTATCATGACTTTTTCCCTCCTTGGTAAAATGCGGGTGGGCGTGGCCAGTGCATGACACATCTGGCTGCGGGCCGCAAGTTTGACACCCCTGATGTAGAATAATTAGAGTTTAAATAAATTAAAAAAACAAAGTTCCAATAGTAGCTTTATTTACCAGCTGACAAAAGCAGAACATTCTCTCACCAGCATAGCATGTTTAACTATTATCCCAAATATTTTGCCTTATTTTACTTGCTAAGCTATGTGCTGCTTCTTTGAAAACTTTGAAAACATATGCCATCACTTTGTATGGTATACGTTTTGTAATTAAATTATTGATATGTTAATTAAATAAATTAGGGGCATTTAGCTATGAACCTCAACACGTGTATTATTTTTAAATAATGTAGTTGCTGTTATTGATGGCAATGAGTCCATATAGGATGTGGTGATAAATAAATCAGTAAATACATAAATGGTATGAAGAAAGGGAGCAAACAGTTTTCTCTCTCATAATGCCACAACTTGAAGTCATCAAAGAAAACAGATGATTAGATAGAAATGCATAATGAGAGCCAATTTGGTTTACTGGTTAAGATATCAGGTTAGATCAGGGGTCTCCAAACTTGGCAAGTTTAGGATTTGTGGACTTCAACTCCCAGAATTCCTCAGCTAGTCATGCTGGCTAGGCAATTCTGGGAGTTGAAGTCCACAGGTCTTAAAGTTAGATCCTGGGTTAGATCCTGGGAGACTGTGAATTCTAGTCCCACCTTAGGCATGACAGTCAGCGGGATGATTTTGGACCAGTCACTCAGCCCAATCTACCTCACAGGTTTGTTGTTGTGAGGAAAATGGGAGGAGGAATGAGTATTAGGTATGTTTGCTGCCTTGAGTTATTTATAAAAATAATAAAGGTGGAATATAAATAAACAAGCTTTGATTTACTGTCATATGATAGTAATAGGAATTATCATGGTTGGCTTCAAAAGTAGATAGACTATATCCATAGCAACTAATGATGTGGATTGTATGGAATGTATGTCTTCAAAAGTTACATGCTTCTCAGTATCAACTGCGAGGGAACATCAAAGGGAAAGAACTTTTATATCCTTGTGCTGGTGCTTGCAGTTACATTGAAATGCCCATATAAAGCATTTTGTTTATGCATGGCAGCTAGGAGTACTATATATATTTTGTAGTAAAATGGAAAAAAGGAAGAGTCATGTCTGAGTCTCTAAGTTTCTATCAGGGTAATGATACTTGCTCTATGTACACCTAGGTAAAGAAGCTGTGGTCTTTGCATCACAAGATAAATAGGACATCAAGCACATTCATGGACACAACTATGCTATTTTTTTCCAACAATATGGAAATTGTTTCCTATTACTGTTATCCTGATGTTCCCTGGTGATGCTCCTCTTTACCTTCTAAATTCAGACAAGATCAGCCAAGTGTTGCTACCTGCTGAAACTTTCCATATATTACTGAAATACAATTCCCAGCATTCATCACAGTTTCAAAAGGTTGGGTCAGCCTGCTGGGAAGTGTAGTTCAGCAAATATGGAGAGTCAGCTGACTCTCTGTCCTGATCATTAAGGGAACATAATTGCTGAAATTAAGCAAGTGTGCCTTTTAAATGTAATTTATTGCAGAATTTTAAATACAGAGAAAATGATACGTCCTTTATTATAAAGAAAAGTTGCTTAGTTAACTCTACTAAGTTGTTCATTTTGTATATGTTTGAGTTTCATCTTTTACTTGATAGGTGTGTTTAAAATGAAAGGATCAAATGTGTGGCCACTGATAAGAATCTATCGAGGGGGCTTTCTTCTGATAGAATTCCTTTTTCTCCTTGGCATTAACACATATGGTTGGAGGCAAGCTGGAGTGAATCATGTTCTCATCTTTGAGCTCAATCCACGTAGTAATTTGTCCCATCAGCATCTTTTTGAGGTAAGTTCTTTAATTCAAGGAGTTTTACATGTTCCTGTATTATTTTGAAAAGCAGGGCTTCATAAATTCAATTGTACAGATAATAGCTAAATACGTACATTGTTTTAATTATTGGAATTTTTTTTCTAAGATTTTTCTTTAAAATGGAAACATCTCACATCAGTGGCCTTACTGACTAGATAATTCAGCATCTGACCACAAAATTCTACCCATAGAAGTTTTTGTGTTAGATAATGCTATAATTTAAATATTGGCTATGACTTAAAATTATTTATTTATTGATATGTTAAAATTTATTTGTTGGCCATATCATATCCAATGACATTGGATGGCTTACAGTATAATAATAATAGAAATGTTATTACTGTCCTCCCTTTCTGTTTTGGAAGTATTAAATATTTTAATGGATTCCCATTAAAATTCTTTTTTTAAAAAGGCTTTATATCAGCAGAAGTGAAATGAGCTAATACTTTAATTGAAAAGGCATTCTATAGGTACACTTACTATTATAATCTAAAACATCCTGCACTAATTTACTGAAATTTAAATGGAAGAGTGAGAAGTGTTGTATTAATATTTTCTATACACAGGTAATCCTCAATTTACCACTTTAATTGAGCCTGAAATTATGGTAGTAAATCATGGCAGTCATTAAATGAATCTCCATGTGACTGCCCAATTTTATAAACTTTTTTGTAGTGGCCATTAAGCGAACCCTATGCTTGTTAAATAAACCAATTTTAGCCAAAAGGCTTTTTTTTTTTTTGCCAGAAACCAGAAGTAAACATCACTTTCTGGCAAAAAATTCTGAAAATTGTGGTACACTACAAAGGGTCATAAATGTGAGCAGTTGCCAAGTGTCCAATATTTGATCATGGGACTGTGGCTTGGGGGGGGGAGGGAAACCATTGGAACTTCAAAACCATGTTGTAAGTAATTCTGGAGATGTTTGCCGTAACTTTGAACAGTCACTAAAAGATCAGTTATACGTCGAGAACCAACTGTAGAGGTGAGATAGGTAGCAACAGTGAGATGGGCAACATATACATTTAATAAATAAAATAAATAAATATAATTTGGTTCTAAATGATATAAGAGTTTAAAACTTAAACTTAGAATTTGAGTTGGAGCTGAAATAAATTAATATGTAATGCTGAAGTAATATTGTCCTCATATATATTGTGTCCTGCCTTATCTGCACATAATTGCTAAATTTGCATTTTTTAACAATATAATCTTTCTAGATTGCTGGATTCCTTGGAATGCTATGGTGTCTGAGTCTGCTAGCATGCATATATGGAGATAGCACTGCATTTCCTATGCATGCAAACCCACTTATCTTGTATGGATTTATGCTGCTGTTCCTTATCAATCCTACAAAAACCTTTTACTACAAGTCTCGATTTTGGCTGCTTAAACTCTTGGTAAGTCAAGATCTAGCTAAAATCCATCAGCAAATGACAACCCCACCACTCTTCCTATCAAAAATATTATAATTAAATATTCTCAGATTTTGATAAATGGCCTGGCTCCATTGCTTATCTATAGGTAATTTGTACATTAAATTTAGTCAGTGATATCTTTATTATGAACAGCAAAGGCTAAGTTGACAGAGTTAGAAAATTTGGGACTGAAGTCCCGCAACTATGTGTTTGATAGCACAATCCATGCATTAGGCTATTTTATACTGTTGTTGCCTCATTTTATGTGGTTTATATGTAAATCAACTCTCTGTTCTTTCTATAAGATTTCCATAGGTGTTAAACCTGTATATACTTTGAAAAGAATGATTGCTACCAAATAGCATAAATGCCAAAGTTTCTGAATAAAATTCATTGTAATTATGTTTTGGCAAAATGTGTAGTTTGTGACTGGAGGAATCTAAAAGATATGTGAGGTATCTAAAATATCAGCAGCAAATCCCACTTCAGGCATGAAAACTGGCTGGGTGACTTTGGGCTAGTCACTCTCTGTCAACCCAACTCACCTCACAGGGTTGTTGTGGAGAAAATAGGAGGAAGAAATAATGTATTTTTGTTACCTTGAGTTGGTTACAAAGTAAAGAGGTAGGATAAAAATCCAATAATTAATAAATAAATAAATAAATAAATAAATAAATAAATAAATAAATAAATAAATAATCATCTATCCTCTGCTTGTTTGTATTGTGTAGATCTTGGTGTTGCCATTTTAGCTGTTGATGTTCTAACTAAACATGCAGGAAGAATTATAATCTAAGATAAATGGAGCATGAAATGGCTTAGTTTGAGAAACACATAGCTGAAGGCAGAATGGACTGCGATGTAAAAACATCTGTTTTTACTATTTCTTCCACACTTGCAATAGTGTGCGAAAGCAAACATTTCCACCGCTGTCATCTTTAATAGTTTTCCTAAACTTGATGTTTGGAGATAACTTAAAAGTATTTTATAATCCATTAAAGAATTCTATAAAATTGTTAATGTCAATTAATATTGTAGTATTACTAAACTGTTTCCCTATTGAAATTAATTACAAAACTCTCAATTATAATATAGTTTTAATTTGAATGCATGTAAAATGCATGTAAAATGAATGTAAAAGAAGATTAGAATACAAATTCCCATTCCAATATTATCTTCAAACTTTCTGTTTTTTAAAAAAAAATAGTAAATTAGTCAAGATGATCAAAGCACTTTAAAAGTTAGATACATCACTTCCCTTAGTCCACTGTCTTTGGTCATACATATTAAACCAGTGGGAGTTTTACATTCAAAAAGCTAGGACATTGGATTGTTGCATTCTGTTCATTAGGACAAACCGAGGTCATAATAATTAGACATTCTATTTACATTCTATTGCACTGAGAAGTCCTTTTGTTTCTATATCTGCCTTGTAAAATTAAATGATAGAATAATTTCTGTAATGCAGTTGTGCCATTTAAGAGAAAATGTTTCAACGTTTGTGGTCTGAGTTTTACAATGTTATATTTGATTATTTTTTTTTGGTAGTTCCGGGTATTTACTGCTCCCTTCCATAAGGTGGGCTTTGCAGATTTTTGGCTCGCTGACCAGCTTAATAGTCTAGCTGTAATACTTATGGACCTTGAATACATGATCTGTTTCTATAGTTTTGAGCTCCAGTGGAAGGCTAAAGATGCATTGCTGAAAGATACAGGTATGTCAATGAGAAGAAATTTGGTAACTGCTATATAAATTGTTGTGTTTGAGGCAAAATTGAGCTTTATTTTTCCAATGCAACCATACAGTCACATTCATTATACACTAGACAACACCATTGTCTAGTGTATAATGAATTGTTTGAGATATATTTCCTTACCTAAATGGAGAAACAGAATGATCCAGGGCTGGCAAAAATGTAGTGGGAGCAGGAATGACTTCTGAGTTCCTGCCAGCTTCCCCATTGAGTTTCCTTATGGGAATCAGGCAGGGAGCATCAGAATTCTTCTTTCCTCTCTCCTTTTCTCTCCTGCTCCTCAATGAGGGAGGGAATGGGGGATTTTGAGATTAGCTAGAAAATTGTCACAAAACATTGGAAATGAAAATTATGTGACCTCAGTAGCAGTCCAGCAGTGCAGCAACAGCCAGTACCACTGAAGCAACCTTCAGCAACGTAACTTTCCCATATTTCATTCCCTTGGGAGTAATGGATCCTGGATTATGGATTCTGTAAATTAACCTATTTGAGGTATCTTAGTTAAAAAATTGTTAATTTATGATACTCTCTTTCACTTAGTTAAAGATCATGTCAAGAGAGTTTTAGTAATATTTAGTATATAGATATTCAATATCTCCTTTACTGGGGATGGAATAGGATGGAAATAAAGAATTTATTTGCTAAGTTTTCATTTTCCAATATTCTCTTATCTCTGAACACATATATGTTATATGTGCCTGTGTACTTTAAGATATTGTTGAATGTTAACTGGAATTGTTTATTTGTAATTCACAATATCATTTTCCTAGAGATTTCTTACCTTTTGAAAGTTTTTTTTTATAGGCCTTCATATTTGCAACACCTATGCTTACGGTGTGCGTGCAGTTGTTCAGTGCATTCCTGCTTGGCTGAGATTTGTCCAGTGCCTGCGCCGATATCGTGATACTAAACGGGCCTTTCCCCATCTGGTTAATGCTGGGAAATACTCCACCACATTTTTTATGGTGACATTTGCAGCCCTTTACAGCACCCACAAAGGTATTATTTTGGAGTCTTTGCTGATAAGTTCAGGGTCTCTGTTTTTAAGTGCCAGCTTATTTGAGATTTCTCAGAATTACTTACTTAACTTTATTGGGGTCATTATCCAGCACAAAATTTCAAAGAATTGTTGACAGTGTGTTTATGAGTCTCAAGTACTCCTTGGTTAATGATAGCAGTTGGAATCGTGAACTCCATTGCTCAGCAAGGCTAAATGACTACACCAACTTATGACAGCAGTTCCAGCAGTTTCAGTTTTGGTTGTTAGGCAAAACATCATGCGATTGCCATTTGTGATTTCCTGCTGGCTTTCCCAATGACTGCTTGTCAGAAGCTGATAGTGGAGGACACAAATGGTGATCCAGTAATTGTGAGATGCTGTGACCATCATAATTGTGAGCCCCCTAATTATGATCATGTGACCACAGGGATACTGTAACGAATGCAGCTTCTAAGATTGGTAGTAAGTCTACTTGTTCAGCTCTATTGTAACTTCAAAGTATTGCTGAACAAATAGTCATTGGCTGAGAACTATTTAAGATATTTATGGTGAATTTCTACTGAATAAATTGAGTAAAAAAATTAAGTTATTTTTTTTCCATTCTGCTATGGAACTTAATGAACTGAGCAGCAGAAATAAGTGAATCCTCTGTTCTCACGTATTAAAACAATTGTATTTTTGTTATAATTCAAGGCAATCATATCATTTCAGTTCCTATCTTCCAAATTAGTGCATAAGTTTTGTATAGTACTTATCAGTGCATATGCATAAACATGCACATGCACTAATACACCCACACATATAAAAAGACACTTTTCTATTCCCACTGGAGTTTGCCAAATTTTTAATGATAGGAAGGATATCATCATTATCATCATCTACTTCATTTATTAAATTTATTGTTTGCTTAGTCCAAAAGAATCTGGGTGGCTTATAACATATCAAAATTAAAACAGTTAAAAACAGAACTTCAAACATAATAGAATAGAATAGAATTCTTTATTGGCCAAGTGTGATTGGACACACAACGAATTTGTCTTTGGTGCATATGCTCTCAGTATACATAAAAGAAAAGATACATTCGTCAAGAATCATAACGTACAACACTTAATAATAGTCATAGGGTACAATAAGCAATCAAATCATACTAGGAAACAGTCAATATAAATTGTAAGTATACAAGTGACAAAGTTACAATCATACAGTCACAAGTGGGAGGAGATGGGTGATAAGGAGTGATGAGAAGATTAACAGTAATAGTAGTGCAGACTTTGTAAATAGTTGAACAGTGTTGAGGGAATTATTTGTTTAACAGTGAGAGCTTGGACCAAAAACAACCCAGCTACAACAATAGAAGAACACAATAGGAGCTTCACAAACAATCAAATCCCAGTCTTAGGAACAGAGCCAGGTCTTAAAGAGCCTTCTGGAATCCTAAGAGAGTGAGCGCCATACCTGTCATGGAGTAGATGCTATTCCAGAGGACAGGAATGTGACAGAAGACATGCATCCTTGGTTCCATAATGTGAAATAAGAATGCAAGTACCATAAATATACATACAAGAGGAGTAATAAAATTTGTTTTAAATCTGCTAGGCCTGTAAATTGATTCTAATTGTTTCCAATTAAATCAATTAAATCAATTGCTCTGTTTATACAGTCAGTGCCATTTTTAATGCCTCTTAAGATTTATGCAAATGTATTTTTATTATAATCAAAGACAGTTTAGTTCATAGAATCTGTAATATTTCAAGAAGTATGTAGTAATTACTACCCTTCTGATACCAGTACACTAACCTGCTGCATGAAACTGAAATATATCATTGTCTGATGTATGTGAAGAAAAACAACCAGTTCTAGAAAAGTACCTATTGATCACACATACACAGGCACACAAACACACAGAGCCCGAAAAAGAAATATATGCAAAATGATAGGAAATTGCTTTTAAATTATTAATCTACAGATTGAGATATCTGAACCATTGTGTTCCCACATCTATGTGGAAACCACAGTGATTTCCTTTTGCTGTTTTTACAGAAGAATAAAGCACTTAGTCCTTTAGGCAGTTACAGCATCTTTATCTTCCCCCCACCCCACCTGTTTCAACTGTTACGCCAGTCAAGAGGTTTAATACTATTCTAAAATATATGCTGATTTATTCACTTTTGCACATATTTCATTTATATGTAAGAATAGGAAAAAAAAAATCTATTTTTCTATTAAATAATAGGAAAATTATTCCCCCCAGTAAACAAATTTTCTTCAGTTGATTTATATTTTTTATAATTTTTAAGATAAACGTCAGGCTTCATAGGGAACCCTAGATCTTCCTCCCAATTTGATGGTAATGAAGAAGAATCAACACTTGAAAAATCATAATAAAATCCAAATGTTTACATGCAAGTTTGAGGGTATTTGCATCAAAATTAACAATATTGAAAAGACGTTCTCCTTCAGGAAAAGCCAGGGTGAAAGGAAATGGTGGATCCTGCTGCTTGAAGGCATATATGAAGTTTTAAGAGGAAATACCCTACTTTTTCCTTACTTCCAGAAACATAAAATACTGGTGCCTAATGCAGCACACTCTGAAGAACCCTGGTCTTCAGAAAGATTATCGAAGAAATGTAGGGAAAGAGTTTGTATCAATTACACTAATATGTATAGTATGTCAATAGAGAGAGAGTGATTTCTGGTATTGCAGATTATTATTGAATAGTATTTGAGACTTTAAAAAAACTATTTTCGGCCATCTTGTATCAAATTCATAGGCAGTACATTTTTATAGAGGCCTACACAGAAGTAAGTTTCATTTGTTTTAGTAAAACTTTACTTTTGGGTTAACTAGGTAACAAAGTAAAGCATGAAAAATGATTAGAAAAAATTATATGATTAGATAAAGAATACAGTTTCAAATATCTGCATCACCTTCTTTGCTTTTTTCTTTCTTTGCCTGGCTTGTTTATGAGATCCTGAGAAGATTTTATATAGTTAGAATTATTCGGACTTCTGGAGACAACCCAGAGCAAAGAAATCTAATTCCAGAGTTGCATAAATGGTTATATAGTACTTGAACATTCTAATAAAAAGAAAATAGAGGAAATGTTTTCAAGACACGATAAAATTATAGTCAGCAAAAGTGAACATGAATTAGAAATTGTTTAACATATGATAATAAATGGCAAGGATACAGCATGTGAAATATTTTTTCTGTGAAATAGAATTTTCACTTCTCTTTGTACAAGCAAGTGCCCAATATTCACTCTTCATATGCTTGGATGTTATCAGACCTCAAGAAAATAAGTAGTCTGATTTTTCTAGATGGCCACATTTCTCTATTATAGTCTAGCATCACCTTCAAAAGAAATATTTATATTCCAATATAAAACAAATATAAGTGGTAAATAATTATGGTATCAGAATTCATTTATTTAAAGAACACCCAACTGATCAGATGACTCTTGGCTGCGTCCATAAGTCAGAGTCAACACTAATAGAAATCAAAACATGATTGTACATATCCACATAGTTGAGCATGATAGACATTTTCTCAGCAGAATTCTCAATTATCTCAATGCTCAGAAGGAAAGTCAAGTCTTCATGGCTCTATGAAAGGCTAATAGAGTCGGGACATCTCAACAGAAGTGTGGGACGGAGACTCATTTCAAAGGGCAATGACAGCAGCAAAGGAGGCATATCTCATTAGTTGACATGCCGCCTCAGAGAAGACCTGGCACATTCCCATTTTATGTAACCTGGTAACTCATAATTCTTTATTTTTTTATTATTCTGGCTAAAAAATAATGCTTGTGCATTTCTCTTATTACTGCATTGTGGTGAGTTTGGCTGATATTTTGGATCTTTACATTGCCATTTCCTCACCATTGCAATGTCACCAAGGCTGCTTTTTATTCAAAAAAATATTTGAATTATTGCCTAAAACTAACACAATTAGTTTGATAAAGTCTTTTGTAAATTTTAGCTTCCACTCTATAATTTTTAATTTGGGCTTTCAAAAAACTTGCATAAAAGGCTTGGTGTAAAATTAGCATACCCAAAGATGTTATGAGAATTAGTTAAGCATGTGGCTATATGTGAACAATGTTATAGTAATCAGGAGATTATATCATTTATGTTTCTTTCTATTCATTGTGAGGTTAAACTTACAATTTAAATAGATTTGGAATCAGTTACAACTCAAAAGGATTAAATCCCTGTCAGATAGGATTAAATCTTAGGAAACTTTCTTCTTTAGTAATGACTATTGCTGTCTGTTAAGGAACAATTTGATTTTGTTATAACTGAAATTCTTTTTCTTAAAATGCATCTTTCAAAAATGAGTTTTAATTTTATTTTTCTTTCCTTCGTCTTTTGTTTAAGCAAAACTTAAATGTTAAAACTAGTTTAGAGATTAAAACATGCCAGATTAAACAAATATTCCAAGGCATTGATATATAAATAACGGGGGGGGGGGTGGGGAGCATAAAATGTCAGGATGCTACCTCTTTGGAATTTAGAATTGAGGTGTGTTTCTGCAGGATATTCACTTCAAGGCAAAGAGGGATGGGGGAGGAAGCAGTTCACTTACTGTCGGAATTCTGCCAAAGTGGAGAGGTGTCATGGTTGTCATGGTAACTGAAGTATTCATTATTTTTTTAAACCTTCCCCATTACTGGCCTTGCCTCTCCTATGCTCTTATATGCCAGTTGCTGATTTCAGGATTTCAGGAAGAAGTGAGGGCACTAAGCTTAGACTCTGGAAATGAATACTACTTTGTGTGGATGCTGCTTCAACATATTCCAACTTTTTTAATGGGTTTGTTTTCCTTCATTGATTTTTTAATGTTGAAATTTCTTGCTGTATTCCAAAGACAGAATCCCTAGGGGACGAAGAGGGCCAGCAATTAAGTAGGTGTGGAAATCTGTGGGATGAAATAAAGAAATAATCCATACTCCACCTGCGTTAATCCAAGGTTCCCAAAACAGAAATAGATAAGAAT